CTCTTGAACATGTTTTTTTTTTTTTTTTTTTTTNCGACAACGCTCACTAAATTTATTGCCAACGTTTTATTACGTGTAATTAATATTATCGTTTTATCATGCGATTATGCAAACATTATCCCACAAAATGTATGATTTATGGGCACACTGCTAAAACATATTGGCTCGTTGAAAAAAAAAAAAAAAAAAAAATGAGCTTCCACGTCCGAGCGTCAAGGGGTAATTGTGGCGGTTGGTATAATTATTGGCAATATGACCTCGTTAAATCGGTTTTTTTTTTTTTTTTTTTTTTTTTTTTCTTACGCGCACTACTTTCGCCGCGTTGTCGTGTAGCACACGGCTTGTATCGAATTCCCGAGCGCCGTAAAATCATATTTGAGTAAAAAAAAGGGGAGGAAAAAAAATTGGGTCGAGAAAACACGAGGGAAAGAGCTCGTAAGGCTCTTCTGCCGTAAACCTGTCGCTGCGGATGACCCTTTTTACGCGTCTCGCTCCCTCCTTTCCTTCGCCTTTGGCCGACGCTCGAAAAAAAACAAAAAAAAGAAATAAAAAACAAAAAAAAAACCGCAAGTATTACACGATGGGGGTAGGTAATCGTCGTCCATCATCCCTTTTCGGCCAAATCGTATAAGTACACACACGTAAGGCTCAACCAAGGGCGTGGCCAAGTATATACACCCCCTTTTTGGGATTACTCGAAGGGCGCTGTCTACATTCGGCTATGAATTTCCATCTAACTCGTGCATCGTTGATATACCACGAAACGGCTGGAAATTCTTTTGCCATTACTTAGGAGGGCGAGTGTATTTGGTGCGATCAAACGTTGATACCGTTAATACCCAAGTTTTGCGGGCTACGCCAAAAACCAATAGAGTTTTACAATGGGCACGTTACGCTGGTCATTCACGTTATTATGATTTATAAAAAAAAAAAAAAAGGCGAAAAATGTAAGGTCAAATTATTTTAAGAGCAGCGCGTTCCCGCGCGAGCAATATATAAAATTCCACGCTAGCCGGGGACGTTTTTTTTTTTCCCTTTTTTTTTAATCTCTTAAGGCTCTTAGAAACTGATGATGTATCGCGCGCTCAGCGTTAAAGCTTCCGACAAAATGATCGATACGCACATTTCCCGAGTTGCGAAAGCAATCTAGGAAATTCCAAAGGCACTTATTGAACAATTTTTTGAAATTACCCGCAACATGGTTGTTTTTTTTTTTTTTTTTTTTTTTTTTTTTTTTTCTTGTACTCCAGACGACTTTTATCTCCCTTAAGTTTTTACGAGCTTTCCGCTTGCCGTGCATAAGACGCTCGTCGTATAAATATGCACGGGGCTGACTTGATTCTTCTTTTTTGTTTTTGTTTCGTTTNGAGCTTTGTTTTTTTTTTTATTTGTAAAAGAATTGAGATGGAAAAAAAAAAACACGTCAAATCTCCTCCGGGTGGGAGCAAACGTGATTCACCTCGGGCAATTCGAGACGCGCCGCGCGACAAATTTGCACGTGTATAGCGCCAGGCGAAGGACTTTGAAATCATTTGGACGAATTTCGCACACACGCACGGCCAACATACAGGTGCGCAACAAAGTTAGGTCGGCAATTGAATTCGTCAAGGGGCTCGGCTTAATTTGTTGTCGTTTGCTCCGCACCTACCGTATTACACTCCATACACGTAGCACCTGCCGAGTCCGCGACTACATACTTCTATTTGTACACACACGCGCACCCAGTATTCATAAGAAACGCGCGTGTCGCGGGGCAAAGCGAAAACTCGTATACGGACAACACGCGCATATACGTTGTAGAGTCGAGGACTAGCTCGATTTTACCTCTCAACTCGTTGTTAGCTTTTAAGTGGCGCGACAAATTAATTTCCAACACGCGGAGTGTGTACGGCACTTTTTCCATTGTCCATTTTATATCACGAGTGGAAACTACCACCCCCCGACCCACTATGCCGTTTCGTATTAGTTTTCGAGTTACGAACTAGATGCCGGTGGTATACCGACTCAGACGAGTCTACGCTTTCCAAAGATGTTTCGCGGTGGATGAAGAACGCCTTGTTCGTATGGGTTGAATTTTACAAAAAAAGGCCAATGTATAAACTTTTTAGATTTTAATGATGATTCTTCGAGTTCGAGTATGATGGTGCAGATTCACTCATCGGCCGGTATCCGCGAGTCGAGTAATTAAAATTCTTCGTGCGCAGAGTGGAGTCGAATAAAAAAAAACCATGACCCTTCGTGCAGCGAGTTGCGATGAAATTCTCACGCGTCATTGCACTCATCGCGACGGTGATGCGGTTCTTTTATTCTCCAGCCAATGCCAAGTCGTTTTCCATCCTTTTCTCCCTCGCCCCAATCACGTTCACGTGTTATCCGCATTATTTCTTACTATTGAAACCAACAGGTTTTTTGTACCGAAGCTTTTTTACATTTTCAAGAAAGTTTTGGTGGGAATGTTGAGCGGCGGGGGATAAGCTTAATAACCCTTGGGACCGTGCCTTTCATGCACATCACGCAAAAAACACTAATTTGTCATTTAATGGAATTATCGACCGAAGAACAAAAAGCTCACAGTACAGGTCGCGCTTAATACAACGCTAATTAGGAGCTTGGCTTGATAATAAACTCCTTCTCCGCCGTTGTCTCTCCTTCCGTACACTAATAATTTATTCCGTGCCTCGATCGCGTCGCTCGTTCTTTTGCTCAAGGTTATTTTGTGTACTCGCATAATGATGGTCTTCACATTATTTTGCCGACATTTTAGAGTCAATTTTACATTTTTTCTTTCACATTTGTTTTTAAGGTTCGATGATACTTTTCATGCAGTAAATATTGCAACTGATTTTAATTATCTTTGCGTAAATTAGGCCAGTAGGAGCTTAGATCGAGCGCCTACTTTTCGTCAAACAAGCGAGATGCAAAAATATCCTCACCCAATTCATGGTTTTCCATTTACAATCTTTGTAATTTTTAATTGCCATGTCCTTCCACCATCAAATGAACGAAAAGCGGGTACTTGTATAAGCGTTAACGTAATCAAAATGGTCCTCATAGTAACGTGTGCAGGGCGCAACTAATTTCAAAGCTGTATATCCGAAACTTTGCGGAATCCGCCTTGTTTGACAAAGTTTATTAATTAAAACTGAAAACAGCATGGTCGGTGCTTGCGAGAGAAAAAAAAAAAAAAAAACAAAAACAAAGAATCAACAGCTGCGCTTCCTCGGAAACACTGAAAATGCACTCCAAGCGCGCATACGTAACCATCGTCGTCCCAAGCGACATTACGAAAATGAGCCGCGGGGGAGGCACAAAGAGAGACCAGTCGGATGTTTCATTAAGGATGGATGTGCGGGATGCAGTTGCCGAAAGAGCTTCCACGTCCGAGCGTCAAGGGGTAATTGTGGCGGTTGGTATAATTATTGGCAATATGACCTCGTTAAATCGGTTGAAGGGCTCTTGCCAACTATGCTTGGCTCGACGCGTACAATGCGCAAATCACCCCCGAACCATAGGCTGCTATATTATCATGGCCCTTCCCTGCTACACCTGGCCATTGTGTCGACACAATGCGAGTATACCCTACATACGCATACATGATAATTATACGCACGCGTGGAGGCACATGATTTTCTTTCCCTTCCCCCTCCCCCCACCATTGAATGGCTCTGTCAGACAAATTACTCAAACAACGTGTATACGATCAATCATCCCCCATCAATCTACACGCCCCGCAATAACGAGACGTTCTGATGGAGTAAATTTACTTTGTAATCGAGCAACTTTAATACTCCAAGTTCCCCGACTGCATGATAAAAGCGCGTTATGTATATACACGGCACACGGAGGGATGGAAGTGTGGTGTATGTACTGAAACAATTTAAGGACTCCGAGAAGACCCTAATAGGGAGTCACGGGGTTGGGGGGGGCTCGTACAACAGAGACGCGCGCCAAAGGGACAGGGGACGCGGCTTATATACCAAAAGGAGACAAAAGGACATTCCGCATACTTTACCGCCTCGAATAGCAGTAGATGGAGCGACGCGGGTTTCATCCGGGAACGCCGCTAGGGCCGGGGGAAGGACGGCGAGGAGTTAACGCCCGCTCGGTTACGGGGGACGATAATTCGCTGCCCCTCTCCCCCATCGTGCCCTTCGACGTAAATCCTCGGAGTCGGGGATTCCCCTTTACTCACCCCCACCCCCCCTTGTTTGCTTATACTTCCCAACCCTCGCGCTTGCCGTACACACAGAGCAAGTGGGGTTGGGGCAGGTGGTCTCGAGGCGGCGAAACATTTATTACGGGTGGGCGCGTGCCGAGGTTGCATGCGCCCGACCGGACGCTGACTCGTTTCACTGCTCCCTCTCTCCCTCCCTCCTCTGCGTGTGGGGTAGAATCTCGTGGACCGCAACGCTCGCGCGGCCCGTGCAATTACTCCTCTGTGCGTTGTTTATTTATTTGTTTTTTTTTTCTTTTTTTTTTCTTTTCTATTTTTTGAATACAATNTTTTTTTTTTTTTTTTTTTTTTTTTTTTTTTTTTTTTTTTTTTTTTTTTTTTTTTTTCGCTAGAAACACGAGAGCTAGACTCTTTTAAGGTTACAATTTTTCAAGCCCGCACAGTCAGAGAGTTCCAAATGGACCGCCGTTGGGTGGAAAAGTACCCTCTCGACGATCCTTCTTCGCTTGACGATCCTATAAGTATACATTTCGAATGATGTGCAGCTGAAAAGCGATTTTTGTCCCCAATAGGTATATACCCCACATGGCCAATCACGGGTCAGTTTCGCGCCCAAAGTCGCATGCGCTCGAGTATCCGAGGGCGCGATCCAGCCTCGGGCCATTCTGGGGCCGCATTGCCACCCAGATGCGAGATGGCAAGATGCACACGCATGCCAGCGAGGGGTTGGGTGCAGGCCGCCGACGGCGCGCGCGGAACGGATGCGTCGGCGTGTTGCGCGCTGGGCCGCTGGCTCGCGCGCCACCCGGCAGTCCTCCGCCGATATCCCGGCGAGCCGCATGGGCAGCCCCTCCCTCCACCTTGTCTGTACTACTTCTTTCCTTTCGTATCTCCGTCTTCTCTCGTGTTTGTGCATCCGCGAGACAGTTTACTGGATTGTCACTCGTGATCATCCTGGTGGCTACGGTACACGCACACCCCACTTCCTTCCCTGCTCTGTTTTTGATTTTTCTTTCCTTTCTTTCTTTATTTCTTTTTTTACGTGCTTTCTTGAAAAAAAAAAAAAAAAACGGCTCCGCGCTCCTTGAGATTTTGCTATGTGAGTGACGAGTGATCGGACGCCGGTTGGATGATGAGGTTTCGTCGGAGGTGTTGCTCAGTGGTGTGGATTGTGAGACGCATCCGTTCCGTGTGATGGCATACCTTACGGAGTAATGCTCTCGTGTGCCGTGTTATGTACGTATATCATTTAAATGGTATTTAACGACAGAGGAGGAGTGAGCCGATTATAATCGAGGATACGCGCAGTGGAAACGGATCATCCAAGAGTATATTGTCACCCCGCTGGGTCGTTTTTCGAGCCGCAAGATTTGGATCGCCTCGATCGCGCGATAATTCAAGGTACGTGCACGCGCTACTGCGATGGCCCCTTTTTTATTTCGCTGTATACTATATATCCTTCCTGTTTTATTGTACTTTTTTTTTGTTTTGTTTTCGAGCTACCCCGCACACGTACGGTTACTCTCGGTTGTTCCTATAGGTTTCCTTCCGGATAAGATCTCTGATATCGGTATGCTTTACGATGGCTTATCCAATCGTGATGTTTTTTCTTTTTTTTTTGTTTTGCGTTGCAGTAATGTGCCATTTGTATGTATTCCCGGTCCACCGGACTCTGGTATACAACAGTAAAATACCGTGTACGTCGTTGCGTACAATTTGATTGTGAGCATTACAATGAAAATTTGTTACCCTTTTGTTTTTCTGGTATTTTGCATAAGTACAATCTACTTTTTCGTCCGGCCATTATATTTGTTTTTCTCGTTAAAACGTACACAGTTTTCGTTTCAAAATGATTCGAGAATTTCATCATCAAGTAGTTGAAACGTTTTAAAACAAATCACCCAGCGTTTTTGTTTAATTTTAAAACATTTTGATGATGTAACTTCGTTTTTTTTTTTTTTTTCAGTACTATTGAGTAAAATTTTCAGTAAATATTTACTGAAATGTCCGAAAAATACGGAATAAAATACAAACCAAAGGGCGCGGTTGGTGTCATTTTGCCCCCGAGTTGCGAACGACGCTTTTCTTGCCCGAGGGTGCAAAAGGGCTGCAAACACTTTGGGTCCTTCAGTCACTTTGCACCCAAGGGAAAGTCCTTAAAACCCAGAGGGTTGAAAAATGTCTTTCTAAAATTGAAAAAAATAAAAGAAGCTTGAAAAAACTATCAAGGACATTTTTCCAGTGAAAATTATTTTTCGTAAATCGTACAAGGACACGTATATTTCACGAGGACAAATGAATTTTGCTTAGTGTCCCCGTTAGTTTTCAACGCTTGATTAAAATTTAGCGCCACCGACCACAAAATTAAAGAACCACCTATAAATTAGAGAGAGAGAGAGAGCCATTTATTTGTTCATTTATAATTGGATTTCGGCGACAACGCTCACTAAATTTATTGCCAACGTTTTATTACGTGTAATTAATATTATCGTTTTATCATGCGATTATGCAAACATTATCCCACAAAATGTATGATTTATGGGCACACTGCTAAAACATATTGGCTCGTTGAAAAAAAAAAAAAAAAAAATCATTTGCAGCTTGGGTTGAAAAACGTTACATGTACGACCTCGTTGTAAAACGCATCTCGCTTTTGGCATGTGAGTTCGTTAGCGAGGAAAGAGTGGCGTTTGCGCTTGTTAGAGTAACATGCGGCCGATAAAAAGAAAAGCCCAGCCTTGTCGCGTCAAACGAAATTCGCCGTTCCAAAATAACTGCTGTCATGATTATGCTCCGAATGGTGTCCATTTTTTTTTTTAGTTTTGTTCGCAAAAAAAGTCGATTCAAAAGTTTCGTCGGTGAATGAAAACCGTGTTTTGTTCCTCGCCGACTTTGTGCGACGCGGTGCGTATATTGTCATTGGTTCGGCACAAAGCTCTCTTTTTTAATACTCGTATACACGATACATACACCGTAAAATCCAAGTGTGTCAAAGTACACGTTTAAAGCGTGTAATCGAAATTTCTGTTTTTTGTAAAATGCACTATAATAGTCTTGATAAACTGTTTAAGAAAAACCAAATTCGATGCTTCGTAAACTATTTCACCTTTTCCATTAAACTAACTATTGTTTTTCGTCAACGATCGGCATAAGAAACCTGTAGTGAGTGAAACATTTCTGTCACAGATTTAATAGACTTGTGAGCGTGTTGAATCTGTGACAGCTTAGTTTTTTTACTCCACAGATTTCCTACATTTATTTTTCCCATTCAAAATTGTCTAATTTAATGGAACTGGTTAACCACTTGGAGCACCACAGATTTGGCTGTCCTTAAAACTCTTGTCCATGTCACCATGATGTGTTCTATAAAAAAAAAAAATTGTAACTACACGCTTCAAACGTGAAATATATTTATTGTCTTTCGGAAAATTGAAACCCATTGCGGCACATGGTGCAAACGAGGAGAAAATATATATTTATTTATGAATGGAATTTCATCGATACAACGAGAAATAGTTCGAGTCAAAATGAATAATCGACATATCATGGAATTCGTATATTTGGAATGCGTAATTAAAAACTTTTTTTTTTGTACACACACCGCAATCGTTTGAAATACGTTTTGCTTGTAGCAAAGGGAATAATGAAAATACCTCCGATGTTGAATTTGGCGAATTTTGCAGTGTAATTCGTGGTTATTGGAAGCCAAACCGTGATTTCATTGGGAAAAATCTTGTGTATATTCAACGCCGTTTCGTATGTGCACAAAGCACATGTACGAACGCGCTTATACGTGTGCAATGTAGGGGGGAAAAAAATGCCTTTCGAATGTTTTGGAAGCGTGAAAAAAAGCCGCGCAAATGACGGAAAGATAATCTCGTGTTTTCCTCCCAACTTCGGGATGCGAGGGCCCGCGGAGCAGCCAACGCTCATTTACTCCTCTTCTCCTAAAAGCTACAGGTACGACAAAATGCGGCATCGTTTCCCTGTTATGCTTGCGTGGATGTATAGGTACACATAATATAATTCCACGCGACTGACTCCCAAGATATCACGACCGATTTTTCTCCCGATGCACGAGGGTGGAGATAAAGATCGAGAACAGAGCAGAGATGGGAACTCGCGAGAAATCTTTGCTAGTGGAATCCACGCTCGAGTTCCTCGTGTACGTACAACGCGCCGTCGCGACGAATGCGGGTCTTAGTCAAATGCCCGTGGAATTGTTCATCTGCGCGTTAAATGAGTTAATGGTCGCGCGAAGAAATCGTTCGCTTCCCAAGTGTGGATTATTCCGAGCAAGCCTGTTTCTCCGAAGCGATACCCGCAAACAAGCGGCAACAGTTGGATAACTCGCGTTGAAACGGCACGGAGGAAAGGAATCGGGGTGTACACCGCAAGGAAGCCTTTAAAAATTCAGTCCCGGGGCGCGTCGGTTTTCACAGCATCCCTCGGGTAGCCGTTGTAACTCTGCCCGCGACCTGTTTACGATACAGCGCTTGCACTCGGAGTAAAATCCAAGACCGGGAGGAAGGAAGGAAGTAGGGCCGATCGACGACAATCATTTCTCTCGAAGGTTTTATTTGTCGTGCACAAGACTGGTTAGATAATTGGGATGATGACTCGGTTTTGTTTGGCCATGGGGAATCAGGGGCGCGGGTGGTTTAGCACTTTGCCATTTGATATCGCACTAGGTGAACATTTTACTTTGAATCAGTGAATCTCTCACTAAATCCTTCCAAAAAAAAAAAAAAAAAAAAAAAAAACGATCAAACATGATATTTTCACGTTATTAAATTCACCACGTATGATGTGAAGATCAAATGCATCGGTACCATTAAAATGCTCAGTATAATGAAAAGCTCCTCCACGAAAGAGCTTATACATATGTGCTACATGTCGTATTGCAATTCCTAAACACTGTACCAGTTGTATTTTACTTGTAATTTCAAAACGTAGTCATTTTTCACCATTTCGAATCAAGGGACCGTTAATCATCGTTATCAATTATTTTGTGTACTTTTACTATCCATGCGCACGCAAGTGTAAAACCTTAACTTTACTTTGAAAGAAAACGCTGTTTACCGGCTTATCGGGGCTGATATGGATGTGTTTGAGTTCCGCTGGAAAATAAAGGAGGGCGAGAGGGGATACAAAAAGTAAGAACAAAATTAACAACAGCCGGGCATTGGTGCTTTCATCTTCAAAAGAAGATTTTTTTTTTCACAACGCGTCCCAGTGAGCCTGAATATTCTTTGTTTGCTTGTTTGTTGTCCTCCGCTCGCTTTGCGATAAACAGAAGAGCCACACTTTTCGCGTACCCGAAAAAAAAAAAAAAAAAAACCAACAACAATCCTCACCCCTCAGTCGAACAAACGAGCAAACAAAAAGCTCGGGCTCTTTTAATTTTCGCGCGCATCACAGGGAACGGGAGGACGGTCCACGGAAACGATAACGAGTGTGCAAAAGGCGTCGCGCGCGGCCACACACGCCCTCGCACCGCACGTTATAGAGGTACAGGGCTAGCCCATACAACAGGTCCTGCGGTGCAGGACGATCGCTAATGATACCGGCGTTAATTGCACCTCGTTAAGCGGCTGCGAGCGCTCCTCTCCCCTTTGACGATAGCCGGCCCCTTCCCACGCCGGCTCTCGATGGCCCGGGCTGATTTCCAAGCTCTCGACCCATTAGCGCGGGGGCTACGGTGTTTGAATAAATTTAAGAGCTCGAGCCTCCCTCCCCCGGAGTGAATTTAATAACGCCGTGGTCCGGAATAATGCGATTTCAGTGGTACGAGTCCGGATGTGGTCAGACGCGTGCGAAAAGCCGCTCGGGGCACGCGAGAGATACATTATTTCGTGCATTTTCGGATAAAAGGGAGGGTATGGCAGGGTGTTTACGCGCATTTTTCCGATTCGAGCCATTAACACTCGTGCGCGATTGGAGCTTCGGCGTTGGTCCATACCGCGGCAATCGTTTGCCCAAACGGACGTCTCGCGCGGCTTTTCTCTGTGGCTACTTTTATTCGAAACTAAAAGAGACAAACGGATCCTGGGGGAAAGAAGTAGTTTTTGTTTCGTTTTGAGGAAAGAAAATTGATTTGATTGGAAGCGCAAAAAAGCGCGTTGTCGATTTTCGAATCACCTCGAGCGGAGGGTAAAAATTTGTTTCCATCCGCGCTAAGAAAAGAGATGCACGTACCCGAGCAGAGGTAGGAGGAGTGAAGGCAACACATTTTTAATTGCCTCAGACGCGCGCACTCGGTAATTATTTTTCTCGCGATTATTCCGTTGCCAAGGCATCAAAGCTCTCGTCCTTCCACTCAAGAGCCGTGGATACGCGGAGTATAGGTTGCAGACGTGGGCACGGAAGGAGAGAGGCGTCGGAGACGTTGACGGTGAGAA